ATACAATGATTTTGTTATGTGGGAGTGAACAAAATCAAACACCAAAGATTGTGGACAGTACGAAATACATCAAATGAAGATCTACCGCAAATCCATCTATTATTCAATAAAGCCAACTTTTGCATGCTTTCTTGCATCAGCTTCAGCTTTCACATATTTATTTTCATAATCACGACATGATCGTTCAACCCCTCGATTGCGGATTTCACGACCGATTTCCACTAATGTTAGGAACGGGGTAACAATATTACTTTGCCAATTTCGCATTTGTAAGTTCGTCAAATCAGCTTCATCCTTAAAAAGTCTAAATTAACTCTGCACTTGTAAAGACATTAAAATTCCAAAACAACAAGCAGAATTTCATTACTGAATTTTATAGCAAAAGTTATCAGGAAGCTAATTGTGCAAAAATATTAAGATAATACTAAATGAAAAAGGACATTTATAGTTGTTTAAGGTATAACAGCAGAACTCCGAGTCAATAATTCCCTTAAAAAGATTTTAAATCAAAAAAGTAAAAAATACTTTGATATGACATTCCATTTTCATGAGTATAACAGCTACATCAGATTCATACTGCGATTCTGATTTAGAAGTCCATTTAGTCGCGATCTAAAAGAAATTTAGCATTTCAAACGTTTAGTGAAGTTATCAAAGTTAACCAATCCCATTTCATATTCCAATTCACTAACTTTCCAATAACCAATAGCAGCTTTTTGAATTTACCTCTTTTGCTGCTTGCCCAAAAGTGAGAAGTTGCCTTGTAAGAATCACTAATGTATCCTCAACTTCTTTTGCAACTTTACGCAGCCGCTCAAAATCTGCCGTATAACCCTCAGCTTCTTCAACAATTCGCTGTGCCTACAAATTTTGAAAATTTCATAAAAGCTAAAATTATCACACAATTTTCTATAATGAATAATTCTCAGTTTTAAGAATACATTTAGAGCTAAATGTGAAAGCATCATGGATAATTAGAGCGCCCATATTATGTATCTTTGGAGAGGATAATGAATAATACCAAAATAACAGTGATCAATGATGATCGAACTTGCAGTTTTTGATCACTTGTTGAAATTCAAATAAATTTAAGACCTCCTGAATTTTGCCAAAATACAAACATAAAAGATTATGAAAAAGATCAAACATTTGTTTTCTTCTGTAAACTAAAATATACAGAAAGATAAAAATTTGCAAAAATCGAACGATATACCTCGGCACGATATTCAGCAATACGATTGCCAAAATTCGATGTTACAGGACTGTCCAAATCGGCCTTCACGGAAGTCGTAAACGAGCTTAACATAGCTCCGTAACTTCCTTCACTTTCGCTTGCAGTCATTTTAATCTCATTTCATTTTCTGGAAGGATTACTTGAAAGGACGACGACAGCATGATGACAAGCAATCATATGGATATCTATTTGCAACGTTCGGTTGTTGAACTTCCTCCGGAACACGACAGAATAATGAATTCAGATGAATCTATATCAATTTATTATCAATGCAGTGTTGTCTGATATTGGAAATGAGAGTGGAACATTTCATCTGATCCCTGTATGAAAATAAACAAAAAAAATTAACTGAACCAAAAATCAGTTAATTAATAAAAATAAACCTCGAAAAAATTTAAAAACCAAAGATTAATTATGGAACGACATCCTAGTAAACTGCTTTGGAATCAAACTATGCATGAAGGCCAATCTTATCAATCATCTCGGCAAAATGATTATAATTCGATCAATCAATCAATTCACAACAGTCTGGAAGTATACAAAAAATCTGACAATACGGCATTACCAATATGACACCTTTTTCGTTTTAAAAATGATCTTTGACTTTAAATCTCATTTTGAAAATATCTTCTTTAACAAGCTTTGTATCTTGAAAATGCCTTCTTAAATAAGCTTTGTATAACACTCTAATCCAGCAACCCATTTTAACAGAGAGAGGAAATTCTGGAAATGTAAAAAACAAAACAAGAGTGCATCGATGACAGGTCATCACAGTCCCTCAGAATCTTCTCGATTACAGCGAGGCATAAATCGTGCTGATAGGTACCTCGAGAGTTGAAGCTCACAACATTCTTTCTCTCAAATACTTCTTCACTGTGCTTTACTGATAGAAATAAATGGTGTTATTGCATTTGAATCAACATTTGATGGATATTTTCAAAGTCTAAAATGAAAATTTCAATGCTCAGATAAGCAAATTGGAATGAACTAACATTGAGAAAGATCATTTTGAAATGGACGCCAATACTGACTATGTTGAGAAAAATTAAAGTTGATAGAGTAAAGCTTCACACTTCGAATGATCATCGAGCGCATAACATTAAATTATATAATAATTTGAATTAGACCAGATCAAGCCTTAAGTTGAAATAGAGCCTAAGAGAGGTCACATCGGTCTCCATATGCATTCACTTGCTGTAATTGCAATAACTGTTACAAAAGGAGAAATCAATATCTACATATTAATTACTTGCATGCTCAAATTAAATACTATAATATAAAATAAAATAGTAATGTGAGAAGAAAAAGAAAAGAATGACATAAAATTGAAAAGAGTTAGAAGTTCAGCGATGTATTTTAAAACTTCTATTACTCTTTCACTTTATCTCATTGGCCCCGGGGCTTCCTCTCTTATAATAGAGCTCTTTTTAAAAAAGAAAGGGTTATTGAAATGGGTGGGAAATCCATATTTGAAGGATCAGGAAGATGAAGAAAACGAATTTCCGGCTTAATTTGATTTCTAATTGAGCGATAACAGATCCTAGTATATAGGAAAATGAAGATGAAAACTTTGAATCATCAATTTTCTAAATTGAAAATGTATTTTTCTTCCATTTCTTGATTGATAAAAGCTAAACCATAGCAAACATAGATCATCTGTAAAATAAGCCAAACAATTTAAAGTTTCCGGGAATGTTCAAATCTGAATAACTGACGTATCGTTTGAATTCAGTTACCCTGAAATATTTTCCTGACTGCAACCATAAACTTCCTAAAATTTTTAAAAATAAAAAAAACAAAATTGTTAAATCCATCTAATGATAACAGAATGATTTCTTAAACTAAAATGACTAACCTATTTTAGATATTGCTGCTACATTTGTCATCTATAAAATTTTAAGTAAGAAAACTTTTTAAAAGGATTGTACACAGTTAGGAGAAGAAATGTAGTAAATAATGTATAAAGTTAAACTAAAGGTACTAAACTGTACTAAACATATATCTGGTAAAGGTTAAAGGTTATAAATGTGAAATGATCAATAATATTTTATAGTTTAACCCTACAACATCCTATTCACTCCAAAACATATTTTCGAACTCAATGAGTAATTCTGTTTTTGAATGGACGAAGAATATTGCTGACGCAGTGTGCGGCAAGCTACAACGACTGATAATGATGATAATAATGATGATGACGATCGCAATAATGGTAATGATGATGATGATGATGATAATGATGATGATATCATTAATAAATAGGCAATCGAAGGGGCGTAATAAAATAAAAATAATAATGTCTGCATTGACTTTCAGCAATTGTCATGCTGGCACTCGGAATACACGCATTATTCATTAAATTCATTTTTAAATAAATGTTAGTGAGGCATTTGAAAGGACCAATGGTAAATTCAACAATTGAATTATTGAATTATAAATTCGTAGAGTAATACTAAATGATATACTGGTGAGGGAAATTAATTTATAATTCTCTGAAATTATCAATCACATCACTTGTCACAAATATTTTCCATTAAATTCTTGTATTCCTCATCTAATCAATAATTTTCTATTTCATATGTAGTCTGCAGGATTTTAGAAAATGAGAAGAAGCCATTTTTCAATGAAAATTAAAGTAAACTGTAAAATTGAATATTTCAAATTAGTTACGTTTAAAAGATCTCAAATATTCAAATTTTAAATATTGATTTGTATCGAATATTAAAAAATATCGAAATTTAATATCGAATATTACAAAATGATGATATATTCTGCTAGCGATATGTTGTTAAGATAAATGATCAAAAAAAAAATGATGCCGTGATAATTTAATGATTATTCT